GCCAACCAGGGTCACGAGAGTAATTATTAGCTCGAAAACGCGAACCACGGGGGTCGACCCGCGGTCCGCGTCTTTCACAAATTATAAAATACAGTTTAGGATAATCTGTTAATAAATGCAAAAAAAACGGCAATGCCGCGTTTTCAAAACGCCGGCCGCACTTATAAGCTGCCCCAAACAGGCCCTTAATGCGATCAAATCATCTAAGACGACTCTCTCTAATTTTGTCCGTTGCTGGAGCTACACCAACCCTATCACAAATATATTCATTTCTCATTTTGTCTCTAAGTGTAAAGCCACTCATCCACCTAATCATTCTCATCTCGACAACACTTAACTTAGTATTATGCATCGCTTTTAAAGGCCAAAACTCAATGTCACAGAGCATTGCATGTCTCACCACCATCTTCTAAAATTTTCCTTTCAGTCTAAGCAGTACTTTTCTATCACACAAAAGGCCCGAAGCATTCTGATCCACCTGAAAATTATCTGTTTTTAATATACATCTAATGTTCATTTTATGCACATTTTTTATGATATTGCACTTTAAAGAAAAATATTTTACATGTTTTTTGTTCCAGATACAAGAAATAGATTTTTGGAGAAAATGGAACAAAAACGGTGCAATTTGAAGTCAAAACGAGGAAGGAAGAAAATTTTGACCTTACACATCTCGATATGTCGTTCTATGCTTAATCTCTCTTACATTTATCACATGTTTTTGAATGAAATTACACTTTAAATCAATGTTATTTTTATGCTTATCTTGTAGGTATAACATTTTGGAGTGAAACGAGACTAAAACGGAGCTGAAACGGAGTGAAACGATGTTAAACGGTAGAGCTGCCTGCAGGGTGGCGCCTAGGCGTCAGAAACCGTCTAGAGACTGTTATGGACTTTTGGTGGTTTTGAGTTGTTCTGGAAGGTTCTAGTTGGCTATGCATGCCCAAATGAGTCATGCAATGAATCTAGACATCTAAAAATGAAAAGATGTCTCTTAGAGTGAAGAGGTGTGTCTCTTGAGAAAAATATGTTTTTTGTCTAAAGAGGGGCTTAATGCCTCTCAAGAGGGATAACTAGGAGGAGTTTTAGAAGGATTTTAGAGAAAGTTTGGTGTGAGTTTATGGAGATATTGATTTTTACATTTTCTGTAGAGATTAGTGAGGGATTTTGAGAGATATGAGTAAGGAAGTATGAGCGACTCATGGATCAGCAGGAGACTTTGTTGGAGATATTTTTTATCTTTAATTCAGAGAGAAAAAACTAAGTATTGTGTTTTTTATTATCTTGTAATTGTTGTAAACATTTTCTAGCGGATTTGTTTTAATTTAATGAAGTTTTCTATTTTTTTTATCCATGTTGCGTGAGTAGTCTTCTTTATTTTTTTCTTTTAATATGAAGTAGTTACATGTCTAGAAAATTTTGTTTTATGATAGAATTATTTTTATTTCCATGTGATGAATAATATCTCATTTGTTTCATTAACATAACTTAAATGACAATAAGTTGTGTTAAAATAAGTTATAAGTGAAACTAAGACTCGGGAGAGCAATAATCTTATAACGAGTGCACTCACATTATCCGGTTAACTATGATGAAATAGTTTGGGCGGCATTCTAACTTTTAAGGAAATATAAGTTCAAAATCTGTTTCAATTAGGAGTTTTTATGTGACAAATAGTTGCTCAAAACTAATAGAATATTAGGCGTACCTATACACTCAAAAGATGACACATAATTTATTACATAATTTTATCAATTCTTTTACTGCTTATGTTATTATTTTCATTTACTTTTGCTTTACTATGATTTGGATAAATGTTTTGGAATGCATGTTAGAATTGTTTTTATTATTAATGTGATGGTATTCGCTTGAACTTCATTTTCATTGCAATTTTGGCTTATTGTACTGTTAAAATTCGTTGTAATTGCATTAAGACTCCGGAAGGGCGGTGTAATTCTCAACTTAGTGAAGTCACATTTCATTTTGAAAAAAGCTATGACGATCGTCCAATGGGGAGTGCAAATAGATAGAGAGATAAGATTTGATGAGCGTAGAATTGGTTTCTAGGGTGAAAGGTTAGTCTTTTATCAATTTGGTTTAGAGTTAGAACTAAAGGTCACTGATAGGACCTATAGAGAGTGCACAATGAGTCTATCTAGAGGTGAGAGGCTAGAACCTACCCAGCACTACTATACATGCCGACACCTTTAGTTTAGTCAATGCTCTTTATGCTTGGAAGGGGTAAAAAATATGTATGCTCCTATTTGTCAAAACTACATTAAATTTTATACATTTCATTCCTTCACATTTTCTATATCATCGCACTGGAGAAGGGTAATCTTTATTATCTCAAAATTCTTCAAATCAATTTATCCAGATAAATTATTTTTAGAATTAATATTTGCATTTAGGAATAGTTACTATCCTTAGATTTAATATTTGCATTTAGGAGTAGTTGCTAGATAAAACATCATCTTAATCGACCTTCCAAACTAAGACCTGATAGTAGTAGACAAGGATTTCACCTAAAGGTTTTCTTACATCGCATCTCTGTGGGATCGATACTGAGGCCTTTAAAGAAAACTCTACATTTCTTGAAACGATATGTATATTTGTGTAATACCCCTAGTGTGTAAATTATAAATCAAACTTTACATTCATTTTGCAAACTAGCCGCTTAATTAAATTGGGTCAAGTTCTTTTACCAGAAAACATATATAAAAACTACATAATTGTGGGTCGGGTCACATTCCTCCACTTCAACCAACAACTTGAATTCTGCTATTAACATTCACATCTATATCATCATTGTTTTGAACAACAGACCCGATATATCTAAATCGCTTACATCTTTTAATAATTTGATCACCCAAAGTTATGTTTCTGTCATTAGAGTTACTACTACTAAAATTACATTCCATGTATTCAGATTTAGTTCTACTAAAATGAAGGCCTTTTGACTCCAATGCAGACCTCCATAATTGAAGTTTTTCATGGGTTTTTTCTCTCGACTTATCCACAAGAAGGATATCATCAGCAAAAAACATACACCAAGGTACATCCCCCTGTAAATGTCCAGTAAGACCATCCATAACTAAAGCTAACTAAAGCAAAAGGATAAGGGTTGAAAGCAAATCCTTAGTGTAATCCAACAGAAATAGGAAAATATTTGGTCAATCCTCCTTCAGTTCGAACACATGTAACAGCTCTAGTACACATATCTTTAATGACTTGAATAAAATTCATATCAACACCTTTCTTCTCAAGAACTCTCTAAAGGATATCTCTTGGAACCTTATCGTAAGCTTTTTCTAAATCAATAAAAATCAAATGTAAATCCTCCTTATCATCTTTGAATTTCTCCATCAAACCTCTCAATAAATAATGTATAGCTTCCATGGTAGACATGCCCGGCATAAATCCAAATTGATTATGAGAAACCTTTGTAATATGTCTTAACCTACGTTCAATTACCTTCTCCCATAATTTTAAAGTATGACACATCAACTTAATTTCTTTATAAATTGCACTCTTGTGCATCCTCTTTATTCTTAAAAATGGAGACCAAAATACTCTTCATCCACTTCTCAGACATCTTTTTAGTCTTTAAAATAATATTAAAAAGTTTAGTAAGCCAAGAAACTCCAAAATCTCCTATGTATCTTCACACTTCAAAATGTATGCTTCCATAGCAGACATGCCCAGCATAAATCCAAATTGATTATGAGAAATCTTTGCAATATGTTTTAACCTATGTTCAATTACCCTCTCCCATAATTTTAAAGTATGACACGTCAACTTAATTTCTTTATAATTTGCACACTCTTATGCATCCCCTTTATTCTTAAAAATGGGGACCAAAATATTCTTCATCCACTTCTCAAGCATCTTTTTAGTCTTTAAAATAATATTAAAGAGTTTAGTAAGCCAAGAAACTCCCAAAGCTCTAAAATATTTCCACACTTCAATTGGGACATTATTAGGTCCTATAGACTTTCTACCATTTATTTTCTTTAAAGTCTCATCAACTTCTTTTTTACTAATGCGACGGTAAAAATGAAATGTTTTATTGTTATTAACGATATCAAGATGTTATTAACGATATTGAAATGTTTTATTGTTATTAACGATATCAAGATCACTATGATCGATCACATTTTCAGAAACTTCATTAAAATGTTTAACAAAATAACTTATCCACCTATGTTGAATATATTTTTCTAAGAAAAGCACTTTTTGATTTTCATATTTCATATTGAATTTTATCTTTAATACACTTTACTTGAATTAAATCTTTACTCGCATCCGCACGTAATGTGAGAACCTTTGTTTATTTGACACTACACCTTACACAATTTTCACAATATTCAGATCTTACAACACGTCGCACAAATTTTAGTGTCACGGGTTGTTATTTTAGGCTTCATGTGAGTCGTTTGATATTTTTTTCATTTTTTAAAAATTTTAAATTAAAACCAATTTTTATAACATACTTCTTATACTTTATATGTTCTTACACATTATTATTCCACCAACTATTTTTATTTATAAAAACTTTTTCTTTTGATTCTCCAAGTACATCTTTTGCTACTTATTTAATAGTGTTTTTATTTTATCTCACATAACATTTGCTTCTTAATAAACTTCTCAAATTTTGAAATCTTGATTTTTACTCATAAAAATAATTTTATTTGAGTCTTTTAAGTTCCTCCATCTAATTCAAATATGATGAGTCCTAGTATTCTTTATTTTATAATTTTTCAACTTAAAGTCTAGAACTAATAATCGATGTTGGGTACTTAAATTCTCACTTGAAATGACCTTACAATCTTTACAATCTCGACTATATCTTCTTCTCATAATAAAATAAACAATTTATGATGATCATAAGGTAAATGATAGGTAAATAAAATTATCTATGAAAAAAAAATTTTCATTTATTTAATTAAAATTTCTCCATCAAAATCTACAGGAAAAAAAAGGGCCTTCTTCATTACCTCGTTTGGCACCAAGATCCGCAGAGGTGAAGCCAGAGGATTCTCCATCCCCAACATGCTTGAATTCCTGCAACTCCTTATGATTAAGCCATGCCTTCGCCCACACCTTCGCCTCATACAGCTTTTTACTCCCTGCGTCAATCGCCTCCAAAGTGAGATGATGAAGAGTTCCCGAAACCACCTGCTCCTTCGCCTTCACCACACGAGCAAACTCCAGCGTAGCATTCTGCAACAACAAATAACCCCCAATAGTAAAAAAAAACCCTAGAAATTGCAAAACCCTAAACAACAGATCTCCACGAAACCCTACGAAAGATCCGGATCAGAGAAAATCGCGAGGCGGCGAATTGTAAAAAAAGCAAACCGGAATGGTTAAAACTGATTCTAACAGATCGACCTCCTTTTTGTTGTGTTCGTCGACAGCGAAGCGGCCGATCTCGTCGATTTCAACACTGTTCGCGTTGTTCTTCGATTCACGAACTCCTCCCAGAGTAGCCATGGCGATCACTTGATCCTCGTCCGCTGCGCCTTGGTGGAACCCTAATGCGAGAGCGAAAGAAGAAAGAAAACACAGAAGAAGAAGAAGAAGAAGAACAGAGCGATTGTCGAATGAAGCCATTGCCTTCCCCCTTTATTCTGTCTCGATGACCATCCCGCCCCTGGGTTCGTTTATCTCTCTGAGCTCTGACTAACCGCCTGTGGGTGAGAAGGATGCATTTAGTGTTGCCACGTGTCCGACACATGGGAGGAATCTAACGGCTAGTTTGGGGATTTTAACTGCTTAAAAGAAGCTTAGCGTAGAGGGTAAGCATGAATATTTAATGCCCTATACTTTTTATTATTACTATTTATAATTTTAAGGAAATGATTAGCGAGGGTTAAAAATATTACAAATTAAAATAGGAGACCTTACATGAATGCTATATTTCTTATGTCTTTATATTTCTAACATCTAAATATTTATATTTACAAACACAATCCTCAAATTCTTAAAATGATATTGATACGCGATAATAAATTTTTATCATCCGGCACGAATCTCGAGGTAATATTTTGAACAAGAAATATTCAAATCTTGATAAAAAATCATCTAGAGCTTTGATTTCAGCAACCTTATAGTCAAACTAATTGAATCGATGAGACAGACATAATGATATCAAAGTTAGTCTAATCTGAGTCAAATCAAGTCCAGATCAAGTGATTAAATCATTCTTGGAAGATTTCTGGACACATTTGAGTGGTCAAACGAATGTCGAATTCAGCGAGTTCAAAGTTGAATCAAGCATCTCGACAAGACGAATCCAACGAGCCCAAGATTGCTCAATTATGACATCGTTAAAACACTTAAAAGTCCATCAAATGTCGTCTGATTAAAGAAAACTCTCCGGACCGTCCGATCAACATAGTTCATATTACTGCATTAATTACACCCAGAGCACTATAAATAGAGTCACACTTCTCACATGAGATGGGGGACGGTTAAGAGAGAACTTGAAGCTTTGAGAAGAAGCTTGAGTCCAACATCATCACCGTCATCACAGACCGCCGTGGACCCCTGCAGACCGTCGTCGACCACCACCGATCACCGCTGGCCTCCATTGACCACCACCGACCGTTATCGATTGGCGTCGACCACTGTCAATCACCGCCGACCAGCACCGACGATCAACAACCACCGCTAACTTCCGTCAATTAATGTTGATCGTCGCTGACCTCCGTCAACCACCGCCGACCTCCGTCGACCACCGCCGACCACTACCGACCGTCATCCACTGTCGTCGACCACCGCTAACTAGACGCCGTCAGTCGACGTTGTACCTTGAAAAATCTAGTAACTCTTTCTCATTTGTAGGACAAGAGGTCGCTGTAATCATTAACTTATATTGGATTTTTATAACTGGGTCGGGCCACGTGATTTTTTCTCTTTATGAATTTTCCACTTAAAAACTTCTGGTGTCATCACAGGTTAATTTACTTTCATCTGAGTGTTTGTTGAATCCTCGTGCAACGCTAAGACGACAATTCATTACTCTACCGCTGCGAATTTTCTAGCAAGCATCAATATCAATAATATTAATATAATATTTTAAAAGTAAAATACATGTTTTAATGTACAAAAATAATGACAAAAATTGGAAAGATCATCTTTATGTTGTATTTTCTAGCCCTTGGAAACTTGGTGGATTTACTTTATCTTCAATCCTTTCATCTCTTTCCTTTCCTACCTGCTATTAAGACTTATGCATAAATCTATAGATAAATTGAGATTTAACATCCTAAAAAATGTAGCGAGTGTGAAATATATCACAGACAAGAAAATGAGTTATTGTTGTGAGATATGTATTTCCTAGCATAGAAATGAAACGCAAGGAACACAAGCAAACACAGATCGTTTACGTGGTTCGATCCAACTGGATCTACGTCCACGGGAGGAAATCAATCAAATAGTTCACGAAGGCAAAAGAAATGGAGAATACATAGCTTATACATAGAGATGAGCCCTCATCGTCTTTCTATGGTCTCTCTCTCAAGCGACATCTTGATACAAGGCCTCAAGATACTCTCTTCCTCTCTAGCTCTCTAGTTATTCTCTCCTCCTTTGTGGTAGCTTAAGAACTCTTCACTTGCTCTCCTAAGCCTCACACCCTCTCTATTTATAGAAGCAAGAGAGTTGTAGATGGAAGGTAGGTGAGCGGTAGGTGAGATGTGGTAGGTGGCGGTGCCACATTACAAAATTGCCCTTTTACCTTAGTTCATCAAAATAACAATTCTCCACCTTGACCCTCAATTAAGAAGCTTCTAAGTAAAGATTCCCTCCACCTAGCCCCTGGAGACCCTCAGCCCTTGCTTGAGTTTGTTAAGTCCAAACAGTACATGGACTTAGCAATCACGGTTCTTCCGATAAGAGAGTACAACCCCTTTTTCCTGACTCCTTATATGGCGACACGAGGGCCTTTGGTTACTCTGATGCAGTCATTCTCTGCCTTGAACGAGCATTCGCTTGACTCGAACTTACCTAAAGAAATCAGATTTCTTTTGAGCTATGGTACGTACCTGACATTTTTCAATACTCGTTCAACTCCATCAAACATCCTTATCCTGATTGATCCACTTCCAACAAACCTGTGATGTGAGCTTTATTGTATCTCAGTAGAACGGACCCATCATTTTCCTATTGCAGTGTCTCGAACCAGTCTTTGTGAGGACACATGTGGAAGGACTTTGTGAGGACACATGTGGAAAGAACACCCTGAGTCGAGAATCCACTCCTTACTGGATCCAGATTTTGTGATCACTAGGGCCTCAGCAGAATCGTAGTCATCAGATGCTACGCTTGCTTCTCCTGATTCTTCTGACTCTTCTTGGTACTTATTCTTCTTGTCTGGGCAGTTCCTCTTGAAATTACCGTACCGTCCTTGTGACAACGTCCTTGTGACAATGATAACACTTGAAAGATCCCCTTGATGACTGATTCCAACCATCCTTGCTTGATCTGTACTGACCATTTCTTGAATCTTTCATGTCCGATCTTCCTCTGACAATAAGACTGTCTCCGCTAACTTCCTTGTCCTTATCATGCTTCCTCTGAAGTTCTTTGCCTCTAATCAGAGATTGAACCTCCTCCAGAGTAATAGTCTGCACCTTTCCATAGAGCACTGCATCCTTGAAATGCTCGTAGCTCTTAGAATAGAGTTTAGCAACAGTAGTGTCTTGTCCTCATCGTCCATCTTGACGTCGATGTTCTCGAGGTCGTCGATGATCTTGTTGAACTCATCGAACTACTCAGACGAATTTGTCTTCATGCATTTTGAAGGAGTATAAGCATTGCTTCAGAAAGAGCCTATTAGCCAGAGACTTTGTCAGGTAGAGTACCTCGAGTTTGGCCCAAAGTGCTTGAACCGTTGTCTCCCTCGACACCTCCCTCAGAACTTTTCGCCCAAGCTCAGGATTATCAAACTGTGGGTCTTGTCCAGTATGTCGATTTTCTTCTTCTCGGTCATGTCGGCCGGAAATGTCGCCGACCCTTGCAAGGCTTCTGCAACACCCTGCTGCACCAGTAGCGCTCTCATCTTTACGTTCTTCCCATTGAATTTCTCAATGTCGAATTTTACGGAACTCATTGTGGTGGCTAGGATTTCTTCCAATGAATTCTACCTGCTGCCCTTCCAAGAACTAGGCTGAAATCACCAAAATGTTGTATTATTGTATAACAACCAAAAGTTTTCAGCCTAAACCTGACTTTTAACGCCTTGTTGTCCAAGAAATTATCACCAAATTTCTTACCTTCTCCCCGTGAACTCAATTGCTTTCGCCAACCGAACGAAGAGCTTTGATCCCTTCTAGCAGAGATCACACTTGTTCACTAGAGAAAACTTCCTGTTCTGTGCTCGCGCCTCCTTCCCGCAGGCACTCCTCTGCGTCCAGCGGAACAAATAGGAATTCATCCTCAGCCTCTCGCATGAGAATAACTGCCTCTCCAGAGCCTTCGCGTCTCGCCAAACTGCTCAGGTCCTCCTGCTTCGCGAACTCCCGAATAGGGAACTCCCTGAACCATTCTCTGCGCGATCTCTGCCTCTTCCCTCTGGCCGAGCTGCTCGCAAGACCGAACTCCTGCTCCGAAATCCTCTGCTGGCAGGCCTGTCGCAAATTTTCGGTCTTCGCTCGCGGACTGTTCCTCCTCCGTCTCGCCGAACCGCTGTTTCCGTTCATTTTTCTCTTTTTTATTTTATAAGGAGTCGTCAGCTTGTCGATCGTCATATACTTCCCCCATTCGAATAAATCTCCCTCCCGAACCATATAAATGATTCGAAGAGGAGAGGAATCGAATAAAAAGGGACATACGACAAAGTGACAAACAAGAGAAAAAGTAAAACGTGG